GTAGTGGGGAGAATGAATTATGTACTATGAGCTAAGCATGGAGCTGGATATACTTTGTATACCTTATCTCTTTTAATTATTCCCTGCCTTTGATTAAACACCAAATCCTGTTGATTCTACTTCTGGGATGTCTCCAGATATTAACCTCCTTTCCATTCTTGCTGCCATTGACTTATTCGAGCCTTTGTTACTTCCCACCTAGATGATTCTAGAAGCCTCCTAACTATTCTCCAAACCTCAATTCCTGACCTTTCCATACAGTTTTTTTTAAAATTACTGTTAGAATGATATTTCTGTGTAGCATATCTGATTATGATATTGTTCTGTGTGAAAAAAAAATTATTAGTTGATTATATGTCATCTCTCCTAGACCATGAACAAGAGCAGAGACTGGCCCCACTTACCTTTGTGTTTTCATATAGTAGGTTTTCAGTGTTTGTGTAGGTGGATGGGTAGAGAGATGGATGGATCTTCGTCAGGACAACCTTGCTCATTGGGTGATAACAAATGATCTCTGTTAGTTGGATGGCAGCACATTATCTGCCTTGGGTAAGCACTCTAGCTCTAGGCTAGTTGGGTAGATTTTTCAAAAAGGAACAATAATTTTTACAGTTGATATTTTCTTTAGAGCCTCTCTGAAAATGAGTTTAAACCACTGTTTAGAGATAAGCTTGTTTGGTTGTGGATATCAGTACATTGATAATTCAAAGTAAAAAAATTAAAAAGCAATCATTTTTTCTTATTCTTCTTACTGGTTATGATCAGGTGAGGCTACTATAGCTCACTAGAATCTGTAAGAATTGGGAATAGGAGCCCTGGGTATGTAGTGGGTGGTAGGTACTGCTTCATGCTGCTCCAGAATAGTCCCTGTGTAGGTGTGTACATGTGTCTCTCTGTGCCTGATTTGGTCCATCGGAGGTTATAGCAGATGTATAGGGAGAACCATACTCCTAACTATCTTTTAGAATTTAACTTTTAGGATGTTATCTCCTCCCTGGAACTTTCTGTACTCCTCAGGCAGAGTCAGATTATACTTCCATACCCTAGGTTACCTCAGCTAAAGGGTTATTGGTATTATTTACTTACCTGTATGTCTTTCACTGTACTTTAAAGTATAAAGCGAATATTATTCATCTTTACACACCCACATTAACTATGTACTAGGCACTCTTCTAATCACTGGGGGACATAATGTTGATGTAAACAGACATATTCTTAACTCTCATATGGATGTGGCAGGAGTGGGAGGCATGCTCAATAAATGTAGAAATAACTTGAATCGATATTCCTGAATGGAGAGCTGAGTTTTAACTTATCTCTCCCTTTGGCAATTTTTTAAGGGTGTTGATCATCAGCATACATTTATTTATTGCCTTCTAGGGAGAGTCTTCAATGAAATCAAATATCAAACAAATGAAACGGCACAAACTCTTTTATTTTATTAGATCATGAGGAGGAGAGGCAGGTTTTGGTGTAGGTAAGGTTGAGGAACAGTCCCTGAAAGGTACTGAAGTACCTGTAGCACATTTGATTGGCTGTTATTAATAGTTTTCTGAACTTGAAAGTTTGAAAGAAAAACTATAAGAAATGTAAAAGGTAAAATTTCTCTGGTAGATTATTGAAATGTATTGCCAGTGCCTTAGGTTGTTTTGTATGGTTGCCCAAGGGAGTAAAATGAAAGCAAAGCGGCTGTTGTCCTCACAGGAGAAAGCTGAATGTGCTAGTTGCTCTTGCCTCTGCTTCTCATAGAGGGATTTGTTCAGAGGACTCACCAGCTGAGTCTGCACTGGGAATTGCTTATGGGGAAGTGAACGTTCCAACTAATGAGCACACAGAATGTGTAGCAACTTAGAAATCTTCCTTGTTGGGAGATCTCAAACTTCCTTTCCTCATAGATGCAAAAGATCTTGAGACATTGAGAAGTTGTGGTTTCTGAAAGCCCAGAGGCTTATCAGCACCACCAAAGTATTCACCAAAGGCCAACAAGAGAAATTGGTTGTAATGGTAAACTCCATTTGGTTTCTCTCTCTGGTCCTGGTTTGTGCTTTTACTATCTTGCCTAGAAAATCCAGATCCTACTCACCTTGTTACACCTTTCTCCTCTGCTCTCCATTCTCTGACTTTGTCTATGGATTTCTCAGACCTTCAGAGACATGGTTAAACAGAATAAACATGTGTTTCTCTGAACCAGAATCAAAAGTCTTGGCTTAGCCTGGCCTACAAACAGTGCACGTACAGCCTTTTCATCATAGTCTTTTCTGCTGGGCCCTCAGCTGGGAAACCTGTAGATTCTGAAATAAGGCTTTCCATGTCACGTTGTCACCATGCCGAAAAAATGAACCACTTTTCAGTTCTTTCTGACTCTAAGAACTAAAGAAATTTGCCTGCATGACTAGGTACCGACTTTATTGCTCCCATGTAGCTTGGAGTTGGCAGGTTCAGTTTCTTTTTAGCAAATGAACACCTCACATGTGAATCGTGGACAGATTCAGGCATAGTGAAGAGATGAAGGCACTGTGCTAATGCCATCCTTATGTCTCATTTTGAGATTTCCAAAGGTGGATTATTAAGCAGGATGGAGCAGGTCGACAGGATTCTCTCTTGAGAAATTAGGTGTATTCTTAGCTATTCTGTCTGCCTTGCCAAACATGATCTGCCTCATCCAAGGATCTGAAGTGTTGCATTGTGCTGCCCCCAACTGGTTCTTTTTGGTGCTTCTGTTACCACATCAGAAAATCTCATTATATGACACTTAAATTTTTTCTAAGCACTTTCATATATTTGCATTAGATTCTCAAAATAACATTGTGAGTTATATGGATCATGGATTATCATACCTTCTTTATAGGTGGGAAAACTGAAGGATAGCCTTATTAGTTGATTTTTCTAAAATTACATGACTATTAAGAGGCAGAATTAGACTAAAATTCAGTTCTCTTAGGTTCCCTAGTCTTTTGTAAATTCAATAATATCCCCCATAATAGGCATAAAGAGCCTAATTTTAAGCTGAGAGGGATTTCCCCCTTTTTATCCCTTGGAAGGAAGGAGATAATAATACATCATGTAAGGTTTGAATAAATTCATTAACCTAATTGGCAAAAAACTTTGAGCTCCTGTTCTGCATGAGGCTCTCTGACTCAGATGCTATGGCCTCTAGCTCTCTATTGTAATGTGGTGCTTAAGATCATGGACCCTGGAGCAAGACTGCCTGGGTTTGAACCTGGTTCTGCTCCTTAATAGTTAGATAACCTTAAGCAAATTTTTTAACTTCTAAATGTCTTTTGTAAAATGAGGATAATAGTATACTTACCTCATAGGGTTTTGTACAGATTAAATGAGATAATGTAGAACAGTGCCTGGTACAAAATAAGCACTATGTACATAAATGTTAGCTGTTTTTATTATCATCTTTATATAAATATGCTTATTTGCTTTCAAAAAAAAAAAAAAAAGGCAAAACAGCCCTTCATGGGTAGGTAGGGATGACGAACAGCCAGATTTCTTGAAAGAGTATGTCTTCACATAGTTTCTCCGTAGTCTTATCTCTTACTCACTCCTCAGTTCACTGTGGTCTTACTCTGGTCTTAACAATTTTACTGAAACTGCTCTGGCTATGGTTGCGGTGACTTCCTAGTTACAAATTCAGTAGACACTTTTAATGTTCATGTTATTTGACTTACAGCATTTGATACTTTTGGTCTTTTCCTTTTGAGAATGTGCTTCTTTGACTCCTATACGATGTTCTTGCTTGATTCTTCTTCCTCTACCTGCTCTTTTAAACATTAGTTTTCTACCTTACAGGTTAGCCCCTGGGCAATTTTATACATTCCTTGGCTTCAGTGACTAATTTAGCTCAATGTTACTGCCTCCTAAATGTTATCTTTAGCCCAGACTTTGTTCCTGAACTTTGAACTGACTTTCTACCTCAGTTGTCCTAAAAGCCTTTAAACTCAGAATGTCCTGGCTGAACCCGCTACCTTTTAACATTGCCTCTTCTGAAAACCTGCTTCTCTCCCTGTATTCTGGATATTTAATAATGGCATCCAGGGACCAATAATTTAGGATCAACCTATAGCTTTTCATTGCCCCTAACCCCCTATCCAGACAGTCATCAAGGTGTTTTGTTGTTGTTGTTGTTGTTATTGTCGTTGTTGTTAACTCTGCCATCTAAATACATCTTGAATCTTGCTCTGTTCCAATGCCTCCGCTATTGCCTTAACTCAGGCATCTTTCTTTCATCAGGATTATTGCAATAATCTCCTAACCTATTTTGCCTTCTCCATATTTTCCACTCTAATCCATCATGCCATTGCTAAAATAATTTTTTTCTTTAAAAAGTAAATATGAACAAGTTGCTCTTCTGCTTAAGAGACTTTCTTTTCTTCCTATTTTGCCTTCTCCATATTTTCCACTCTAATCCATCTATCATGCCATTGCTAAAATAATCAATCTTTCCTTTAAAAAGTAAATATGAACACGTTGCTCTTCTGCTTAAGAGACTTTCTTTTCTTCCCTATAGACAAGATAAAGTCCATATATCTTAGCAAAGCATATCAGCTTCACTTGCCTCTCCTATTCATGTACTGTCACTTAACCTTTATCTTTGTATATGCTGCTCCCTTTGTGTGGTCTGTCTTTCCTGCTCCCCCAGGTTATCTTTTTGACCCCTTATTTCCTCTATACAGCTTTTCTGACATGTCCAGATTGAGTTAGTCACTTTATTCTCTGCTCTGCATAGTGCTGTTATACATGTACAAAGCTATATTTTAGCATTTACCACATGATATTGTTTATTGTTTGTCTATATCCCTTCACAGATTGTGATCTCTTCAAAGGAAAGTAACTTTGTGAGTAGCACCTGCCATAGTGCCTGGATGCAGAATAAGCCCTCAGTAACTTAAAAAACAAACAAAACATACAGTCTCTATCTTCTAGGCATTTACTCTCTAGTGGTTTCACAACCAGACAAATGGTAGCTGAGTTTTCCTTCTGTTTTGCAGTATATCAACTCCGGAAACCTGGAACAGTTGCTAGACAGTAACCTGCATTTGCCCTGGACTGTGAGGGTGAAACTGGCCTATGACATAGCAGTGGGCCTCAGCTACCTTCACTTCAAAGGCATTTTCCATCGGGACCTCACATCTAAGGTACGAAGGCTTTACTTGCACAACTCTTTGAGACACTGTCCTCCATTACCAAGAAAGCTGTGTTAAACCAGTCGTTAATGAGCTTTGGAATGATGGAGCCCTCTTATAGATTTAACATTTAATTACAGAGGATACAACTTATTACTCTGTATAGCTAGTCCTTAGAAAGCCAATCTCGGCTCACAGCAGGTATCTTTTAATGTTGAGCCAGGCAACACATACATCTCGAGAACCTTCACATTTGACTTCAGTCTCCTAAATTGTGTTGCAGAAGCAGATGGCATGAAGAGGGTTAAGAGGTTTTTGCTCTGTAGGAATGACCTCCAGGAAGTGGCTCTTAACTGAGAGCAGGAGTTCAGTGATTTTTAGTCACTTGAGTGCAGGTTTTGAGGGCCGTAATGTACTGACCCATTTTCTATCTGTGTGATTGAGTTTCTGCCATCCTGCCAGTTCCTCTTTGGCATTAGCTGGTCTCTGTAGTATTCTCTTGCCCTCCAAATTGCTGTGTGATCAGGTTAGAAAAGAGTTGTTTTTAGAGGAAGTTGGCCATGCTTCAAAGCAGACACCTCAGTGCCAAGTGGCCCAGGACACCACCAGGATAAGGCTTATATAAATAATACGGCTTGATAATTGATGCGGGAGGTTTAAATCACCTAATATGACTTCTGTCCAGGAGCTGACTTAGAGGACTTCTAGGGAGGTCTATGGGAGTTTTGTACTTGTCCAAGAATAGCTGTCATTTCATTCCCCACCTTCAACACATACACATGCACATATGCATTCATGCATATATATATTCCTATACCCCTTCCGTCATGGATGGAAGGTTAAGGGAGCCTGTTATAATAAAAATTTTGCAAAGGATACAAAAGCAGGCTGTACTCTCTGAGCCAATAAGGCCTAAGGCAGTCAGTCTCCAGCTACCTCACACTAGAATGGTTCTGGTGTTCCAACAGCAGTACTGTCCCTGAGGAACCCTGGCCATTGGTTTATAAACTACTATACAGAAAATAGCTTTGGGGAGGTGATTGTGGGGCCTATGGGTATGGCAGGGCCATTTGTAGTCAACTATACTGTTACCGAAGGAGCACTAAGCCTGTCAAGTGGAATCTAGTGACCAGCTGAAGCCTAGTTGTGAAGAGTCCTTTATCTTCATCAGTATCTGCAAGGACTGGACAGTTGGATGGTTTGGACTTGGAAGGTGGTATCTTTTCCCTTCATCAGCCTTTGCTTATCCCCTAGAATGTTATAGAAGTCAAGAAGGAGAAAAACTGCACTTGTTTCAGGTAGAATTGTATCAACTTAGACACTGCCTTAAGTTGATAGCCTGTTCTCACTTCAGGCATGCAGCCAAAAATCAAATCTTTGTGTCCTACTCAGAGAGCATCATTTCCTCCAAGGTGGAAGGAGATCATGACAAGATATCAGTTAGTCACACAGCTATTTTCCCCACACCTACATGAGTGTCTCCTATGCCTGGAACCATGGATGAGGGTATATTAGAAAAGGACAATTTCTGACCTAGAGGTACTTAGTCTTGTTGGGAAATAATTGAAAAACAGTCCACAGCATTTTTACAATTAAGTGTTTAGCCACAGACTATAGGTTTTCAGAGAAAAGAAATATTGCTAGACTTTAGGAGGAAAGCTCTCCCAGTGAGTTCCTAAGACCTCATCATATTCTCTTCTGTGCTGCCAGAGCACTTTATCTCATTGTGATAGTATCCAAGTGTGATTCTGTCTGGGCTTGTCATGTTGTAAAAATGACTGATAAACCTTTTTGGACCTATAGGGTGCTGTTATTTGGTTTTCCTGTTAGGGAGTAGGTGTTCCCAGTGTCAATGGCTTGAGATGAGAAACTAGGAATTTAGAAAGAACTGGGTCTCTGTGCTTTCCTGGGTCTGAACTTTAAGGAGGTATTGAAGATACTTCTAGGTGGTGAGAACAAATGAGTTTACAAACTGGAGACAGGCTGAGAAGTGCACTGTAGGGAATTTCAAATTGAAGAAAAACAAATGAATTTTACAAGCCAGACGATGTACCAGGAGAGACTGTCTGTGTTCATTGCCCTTTTATCATCTCTGAGTGTTTGCCTGAATGTTTCATCCTCATTGTAATTGTGTGGCAGGGATTAAGGAGGAGGTTGTATGTCTACACCTAGGTCAGAGCAGCCCTACCCAGGAGACAGTGACTATAAGAGTGGGAAGCCCCAAGGGAGAAATAAGACTAAAGGGACAGAGGAGGGCTTTGAGGTTTCCAAATTATCTCCTCATTGGCAACCTTGGGTATAAATTTGATATCTTAAGGAACAATAAAAAGATTTACTTATACTTTAGTGGTGTACACTTTATATTATTTGTTCTATTATGTTGCATCTTGCACCTAGCATAGAACCTGTCAGAGTAGGGGCTTCCTGGTTCTCTTTCAGAGAATGCACTTGATAGCACAGAGGCCAAAACATCTGATTGAGAGCTGAGATTTTGAGTCCCAGACCCAGTTTTGTCCCACCCCTCCAAATGACTTCAATGCCTTTGGACCTCAGTCTGTAAAATAGAATTTTGTCCTTGACCTCACAGGAGCCATCAGTCTGGGCTTCTCAGACCAGAGCTCACAGGAGGGATTTAAAGTAGTGGGAACACATTCTACATGGGTAAAAAGCAGATGCCTTTTTCCAAATGATCCTGAGCCTGTGGTAGAGGCAAAGAAGATCCCTAGTTTCCTATCAGAATGTCTCCTGAAAGCAGTATTCCCTTTGCAGGATTCACACATCAGTGGTTACAGCAATACTGCTTTCAAGAGTGAAAAGTCTGTCAGATATAGCTGTTCAGTCTAATTTTGTAATTACTTCTAAGAAATAGCCTGATACGGATTTGTGCTGTGGCGATGCTGATAGTTTACTTAGAAGGAAGTGGGAGGTAGTATAGCTTTAAAAATATTCAGTTCATGAGCTCCATCAAGAAGTGGCAATAACCACACACAGGCTTTTTACCTGTAGCTCTAGGAGTAAGTAGTACAAAGATATATTAGGCTTGGCTCTGAGGAGCAGCTGAGAGAGCAGTTTGTTTCTGCTCATTATCATTACTGTCCAGGATCAGGCAAGCAAAACTGTGTTTGGTTACCACTAGGAGTGTGAGTTATGAATTGTACTTCTAGTCTTGGTTGTTGGTTTTTGTGTATATATATACGTATTTTTTCATGGATTCCAAAGAAGCCACTCTGCTGAATCGATCAGAGTGAATAGCCTATCCAGCTATACCACACAACAACTAGGAACAGAAAATGCCAATTTTCAGAGACTGAAGAGAGCATGAATTAGGAACAAAGGTTAATGCTGGAGGAATATAGAGAGTGTCTCTTAGGACACCCTGTAGTTTATTTATTTATTTATTTTGTAGTTTGATAGCTTATTTTAATGAAGTAAAAATATGTTATAAAAGTTATAAAACCATTCCTGTTTATTTTATACATTTAGGCAGTGAGTTATAGAGCAAACCAAAAACTAGGAGAAAACATTTGTAGTAAATGTAACAGATAACAAGTAATAATCTTAAAATGTTGATTAAAAAGAACATTAAAGTTATAATAAATGAGAGAAAAAAGTATAAAAATATTGGGAAACAATTCACAGAAGAGGACATAAATGTCTAGCACACATCACAAATGTTTAACTTCAATGAAAATCAGAACAGTTCAATAGCATTCTGACATTTTAAATTAATAGACGTTTTGAAAATAATGCTGTATTAGTTTCCTAGGGATGTTATAACAAAGTATCACAATAGTTGTTTTTTATAATGAGAATCATCAGTAACTTTTAGGTACCATTTATACTGTGCTAATAGAGAATATAGTATTGAGGACACAGAAATTACTAGAACCCTATCTGTACCATTCATGGGCTTTTAGTCTAGTTGAGGAGACAGATTTGTGAACAGATTATTACACAAGAGCTGTGGTAAAGATATGGGATCACATGATGAGATGGAGGGCAAGGGATGGGGACACATTATAGCAAACCAGATAATCTTCTAAGAGACTTAGTCTCTGGGCATTTAGGAGGCCATTTCAGTCTGTGATCTTCCTGTGCTGTGGTGGTTTCATGTAGTGCCAGTATTGACTGTGCAGTTGTTCTAGGAGACCTCAGGAAGTGCTCCCAAGTGTCTACTCTGGCTCAGTTCTGAAAGATTTGTGTTGGCTTCCAGAAATGCATTCATGGCCACTTCTTTGAATCTCTTGTCAGCTCAGTCCCCACTATGGAGAGTCGAATATATGATTAGTGTATGCTTTTGACATATACTTTTGAAAGGAGCCCAGTTGCTTCAGTCATCTGTCCAAAGTTTCATATAACAAACTTTTGCTAGCTCTCTCTGTGTGTCTGTGATACGTTAGAGATACAAAGATGAATGGGATCCTTCCCTGCCCTTGAAGAGGCAAATATGTAGTATGCGTGAGGACAAAGAGGAATAGGAGCCAGGCAGCAGCAGTGCCTAGGCTTCTTTTTGAACTTGAAAAGGTCACCTCTTGCCTTAGGGAAGTCTGACTGGGCCTCTCTTATGTCTGCTGCTTACTCTAGGCAAGGATACTTTTGAATAAAGCATTTTCATCCTCTATGCAATGGACCTTGCATCCCAAACAGCCTGATAATTGGTCTGGCTTCTTCAGAACCCCACAGTGGTCTGAGCTTCATATTTTGTAGTCTGTACTGGGGCAATATCCAAATTGAGTGAGAAATGCAATCATTACACTAGATGCCCTTGGATTAACTACATTGGAGGTAGGGGCTAGCATGCCAAATGAAGGCATCTTATTGTATTGCCTACACAAACAGTGTTGCCTTCTCCATGGGCCTCGGTTACTGCTGCTATCTTAAAACTACATTGCTTCTGCCATGGCCTTGCTGTCTCCAGTAGAAAGCTTTTCAGTTTGTTCTTCTTGAGAGGCCAAAATCATCAGGAAGGAACACTTTAGAATCAGGAGACCTGGGTTTTTACCACTTATAGTAGTAACCTTCACTTTTCTCATTTTAAATGTAAAAATCTCAGATCTGCCTACCTGACAATGTCATTTTGAAGAACTATTGGGATCTTGTTTGTGAAAAGTGTTTTATAATTTCTAAGGCGCCACACAGAGTATGCAATTTTTTCCTTACCCAAAGAGATAGGAAATATGCTTTAGGGCACCTCCTTCTTAAGGTATCCCTGCTTTTCTAAAGCTTATAGTCTGTAGCTTACAGTCTGTAGCTATAGGAGGGGCCTGTAGAAACGGACACTTTCATTATAATATGGCAAATGCTAAGGTTAGAGAGAGAATGCATAGGATGCTTTGAGAAAAGGATATTTAACCCAACCTGAGGATATGGAGAAGGCTTCTTGGAAGAGATGGTGCCCAAGCTTGAAAATTGAATTCTACTTATTAAATATTGTGTGTGTGGGGGGGTGGGGAGGGTGGTAATATTCCAGACCAGACCAGACAAAGGGAACTGCATAAACAAAGGCACAGAGGCACAAATAGTATGACGTGGAGACTGTGATGTTGGAGTGATAAGGGATACGAGTTGAAAAGAAAGGAGTCTGATCATATTATATCTAGCTTGGATTTTATCTTGTAGATAGGAAATGAAAAACCATTGTCAGCTTTTTTAAAGTAACAGCTTTTTTGAAATATACTTGCACATAAAATTCACCCTTTCAAAGTATATATTTCAGTGGTTTTTCATATATTCAACCATCACTACTATCTAATTTTCATCATCCCAAAACAAAAACTCCATATCTTGTTCCCTCTCTCATCAGCCCTTGGCAACCACTAATCTATTTTCAGTTTCTATGGATTTCTTATTCTGGATGTTTCATATAAATGGAATCATACAATATGTCATTGCTCTGGCTTTTAAATAGAGGAGTAACACAGTTAGATTTTCATTTTATGAAGATCATGCAGGCAGGAATGAGGAAAGTGGATTCTGGAGATCAAGCCTGGCCCAAGCCACAGAGACCAGTTAGAACAGTATTGCAATAATCAGGAGGAATGATGAGGACCTGAACTAGGGCAATAGTAGTGGGGATGCAGAGGAGGGACTGATTTGAAAAATGCTTAGAAGCTAAAATTAGTTGGAGTCAGAGTTAAAAATCTAGACTAAATCCCAGGTTTCTAGCTTAGCAAACTGGGTACCAGCTGACATAAAAATACAGCTAGATTTTTAACTTTGGGGAGAATAAGATATGTTCAGGTTTGCATGTATGGAGTTCAGTATGAGTAATCCAGGAGGAAATGTCCAGAAATAGAATGTACAAATCTGCAGCTTGAGGATCAAGGTCAGGGCTGGGGATATACACTTGGAAATCATCAGCACAGAGGTGGTAATTAGAAAAGAAATATGGATTAGTTGCCACAAAAGCACACAAGAGTTGTAGGCCCAAGATAGAACCCTGAGAAGAACAGCCTGCATGGAAGTCTGTAGAGTAACCAAGGGTAGAAAAGGAAATCCAGAACTGTAGAGTCATAGAAGCCAGGAGAGAAGAATAAAAAAGGAACGGGAGTAGCCTCTGACGAGCCTCTGATAGCTATCTGTTAGCTCTAGGAGCACAACTACTTATTTTCTGCATGCTCAAGTACTGTATGATTCCTGAATGATATGTAAAAATGCTGACAGAAGTAATCAGCAATGTCAACAGCAGAAAGGTCAAGTAATAAAAGGACAAATTTTGTCTATTGAGCTTAATACTATGGAACTCATTGGGATCCTGTGTGAGAATACTTCCAGCAGAAGCCAGTGAGGAATGAGTGGGAGATAAGGAAAACCTCACTAGCTGAGGCCCTCTTAAGGACAGGCTCAGGAGTTTGTTGGACAATCCAATAGAGCTAATCCTGGTCAGAGTTTCTCCCATTTTTCTTATCACCTTTGATACAGACTCCTAAAGTTTGGCTCTTTGGGTTTTTAGTATCCTATCTTTGTTTTTTGGCTCCAATGCCCAGCTATTGGCTATGGAGAAGCTTAAAGAGGGGAAATGGTCTCACTCCAGACCAGAGGCAGAGATAACCTTGCCCCATGTTGTGGGGTCCTGATTATCCCTGCTTTAGCCATTTCTCAGCCACTCAGAGAAGCTACTGTGGAGTCACTTACTCTCAAATGGATGGTTTGCAGTGAGTGAACAGGTTTCCATGAATGTGAAGATGGGGCAGAAAGTGAACAACTTTGACAAGGCAGTGTACTGTGGCCATGTTCTTTTCCTCACTTGCTGAATTTACAATCTGAATTTAACAAGGTTGTTTGTTTCTGAGGGCTACAAAGCAAATAGTAAATTGGACCTTAGACTGAGCCTTGGAGACAGAAATTGTTAGTGAAATAAGAAGAGAGGGGAGAAAAATAGCTGACATATCTGAGCTGCTACTGCCTCATAGGACAGTGCCCTATAGCCTGGGCTTCAGCTATCTAATAGTCAAACTGGCCTAGGGCTCATATTCTCAAAGACATTCAAAGTCAAGTTGCTGGGGGATGCTGAGCCAGCAGGACTGATGGGAGAACTAACTCCAGGAGAAGCACAAGGTCAGTCTTCCTTGAAAGCCAGAGATGGTGCATGTCTATGTGGGATCCAAGGTAGGAGAGGATGCAATAAAATTACAGGCTTCTTCCAGTTTGGGGAAAGAATGTTGTGATCACATCAAGGCGAAAGTAAGGGACTGATTTGTACCTAATGTGGAGTGAGCAGGAAGTGACTTGGCAATGCCTTGGCAGTTGGATGCCAAGGCTGATGAGGAAGGAGGGCTGGTTTGGGTCAGATAGGGCCTTGCTGGCGCCAGAAATGTCCCTGTGAGCCTTGCAAGCATCCCTAGTCTCTGCTGCCTCTGGAGGAAGGTGGGTAGAGTAAGGTACCTCCTGAGCCAGAATGATGTAGGGCTATTTTGAATGCAGCTGTATGGGGAGAGCTCATTGCTGCTTTGTGTTTATTTATGAGTTGTTTGGGTTTATCCTTTCTCTGGAGACATTTGTTCAGTGAGCATGACTTGAGCCTCTTTCATGAAATGAATACTGCGAGGAACCAGAACTTGCTCCTGAAGAGCTGACAGCCTGGTAGACTGTAAGAGGAAGTGGCATAGAGGAGAACTTAAAGGAGCTGAGATGAGAGAGAAAGGTGAGAGCTGGAGAGGACAGGGCTGGAAAGGTAGCTTGCCTTAAAACACATAAAATTTTCTGAGGTGAAGAGGAGAATTGGGAGAGCATTCCAAATGGAAGGGAACAGTATAAGCAAAGGCAAAGGCTTGAAGGGCCTATTCAGGCTTTACAAGCCAAGCATGTCTGTGACAGTGGATGCAGATGTGTGCATAAGGGCACCAGAGACAGAGGGGAGTGGCTGGGGAGGTAGGCAGATTGGTTAGAGCCAGATCATAGACTTTTAATACCAAAGAGGAGGTTGATTATGATCCTGTTAGAGTGAAAGTTGGTGTAGGCTTGGGTGCTTGTCCAACGCTTATATTACTTGGCAAGGTCTGGCCTGGCTTGGCCTTTGGTCTCTGCATCCTGAGGAAAAGAGGAAGGGAGGCCAGGGGCCTGATAGTCTGTCTTCCTCCACTAGATTGTTAGCTCCAAGAGAATAAGGGTTTCTGTTCATTGAGGTACCATGCCTAGTACATAGAAAACAAAGATAAATATTTGTGTTTGGGGCATGATAATCCTAGGGTAACCACCCAAAATCCAGGCCTAACTAATCTCACGTGACTGTCAGAGCCCCCCAAGACTGACCACTCGGGTCAGCCTAAGAGTATGGTTTCATCAAGGAGCAGGGTACCCTGTGGCAGGGAAGGATGGCAGTAATTTTATGGTTGGCTGGCCCCTACTTCTGAGCCACACTGTCTTCTTCTTTGGGAACCCTAGAACTGCCTGATAAAGAGGGATGAGAATGGTTACTCTGCTGTCATAGCTGACTTTGGCCTTGCCGAGAAGATCCCTGATGTTAGGTGAGTAACCTAATGGGTGCTGGGGTTATAGAAGGGACTGAGGCAAAAAGAAAACTCCAGCTTCCTCCCCAGAGGCCAGGACTTGGTCACAGCTCAACCTCAGCTCCACCTCAGCTCCCTAAATTTGGTCAATCCTAGTCTGTGCCCATCCTTGGGGAAGAATTCCCAGTATTCAGATATCTTATTGCATCAGCCAGTGGCAAGCTCATTTTCCGTATAATCTCACCCCACAGCATGGGGTGTGAGAAGCTGGCTGTGGTGGGCTCACCCTTCTGGATGGCACCTGAGGTTCTCCGAGATGAGCCCTACAATGAGAAGGTGAGTCTGGGGACCCCAAGACCTGGTTCTCCTTAGAATCTACCTTTAGCAGAAAGTGTCCAAGATCACCCTTAATGTTCAGGGTGAGGATCTATCTACGTCCTTCCCACCAAGGGCAGGGCTGGTACATGGTGATGAATTGAATGAAATATGGGCAGTAGGGCCCAGGCCTGGGCTGGTGGATATGAGGGGCAGAAACCCTACTTTTCACCCCATTGAGAGGGAAACTGAGGTCTCACTTCCAACCAGGCGGATGTGTTCTCTTACGGTATCATCCTCTGTGAGATCATCGCCCGAATCCAGGCTGATCCGGACTATCTTCCCCGCACAGAGGTGAGCTGCAGGCATAGGGATCAGTGCCACTGGGATGGGGCTGCTTTCGAGGATGTGGAACTGTTTTGTTTTTGGGGTGGAGTTGGTGGAACTTAGTCTGTATGGCTATTTCTCAGGGGCAGTTCTCAGCCTCTCTGAGCAGGCTAGGATGGATGAAGGGATTAATGACCTCTCTACCCATGTCCCCTGTTCCCTCCCCACCATACCCATCAATAGAACTTCGGGCTGGACTATGACGCTTTCCAGCACATGGTGGGTGACTGTCCCCCAGACTTTTTGCAGCTCACCTTCAACTGCTGTAACGTGAGTATCTTCCCCTGCTTCCCCGGCTTTGGTCTGGTTGAGATTGTAGGGAGAGGCTGCTAATTAATTAGGGGGCCTTATTTTCACTGATGAATGCCCATGTCTTCTCCTCTGGGCCTGTCAGATTCTCTAGAACCCTGGACCAAGGAAAGGAAAACTGCTTTGTAATATCTAATCTTCAGACTGCAGGGTAGACCCATCACCCCTTATCTTGGATGTTGATGGAGCTTTGGTCAAGTTTTAGTTGGACTATGGATCCAGCTGGTCTAAGGTCCATGGGAAAGGCTCTTGTTAGCCTCCAGCTCTGGGGCTGGACCTACTCGTTATGACCAAGTAGTTGAGCTTTGTCTAGGTAGCTCCAAGAAACACATTAGCAACAGAATTCTAGAAAGAAAACCAATGTGAGCATACCCTTTTGGAGGGTTCTGTGCCAAAAAAGGGAATGACACACAGAAAGTGTACTAAGATAGGGGAAGCATCTTCCCTGACCTTAGCTCTGGGAATCACCCTCATGGTCTCTGGTCTTCAGAAAAGCTCTCTTAGCTGCACATCTGAGTCTTAAAAGATGTCGGAAGGACTCAAATGCCATCCTTGGGGTGGAACATAGGAGGGCAGGGCTAACGGCTGGTGTGGATGACTACAGATGGACCCCAAACTGCGCCCATCCTTTGTGGAGATTGGGAAGACCCTGGAGGAAATTCTGAGCCGTCTACAGGAGGAAGAGCTGGAGAAGGACAGGAAGCTGCAGCCCACAGCCAAGGGTAAGAGATTAGACCAGTGTCTACTCTGACCCCAAGGGAGGAAATTAGGATGTGGGGTCTTCTCTTCTAGGGCTGTGATTATAGGATCCCATGTCCAAAAAAAATGTGGAAGGGTAGGAGATGATGGGAGAAGTACTAGAGTCTTAAGAACTGTGACTTGGTATATAGTCCTGCCTTCTCTGAGTCTGTTTTCTCAGTGAAATGAGACAACAGTACCTGCTTTGCTTTCCAAAATGAAAACACTCTATGGTACAAAGTGTCGCTTCTATTTGTTATGACTAGTGAAAGTAACTCTGACTTGTGCTATTCTTCAGGACTCTTGGAGAAAGGACCTGGTGTGAAACGACTGAGCTCACTAGATGACAAGATCCCTCCCAAGTCCCCACGCCCAAGACGTACTATCTGGCTGTCTCGAAGCCAGTCAGACATATTCTCCAGTAAGCCCCCACGTACAGTGAATGTCTTGGACCCTTACTATCGGCCACGAGGTGGTGCTGCCCGCACACCCAAAATCAACCCTTTCAGTGCTCGCCAGGACCTCAAGGGTGGCAAGATCAAGTTCTTTGACCTGCCCAGCAAGTCTGTCATCTCCCTGGTATTTGATCTGGATGCACCAGGGCCTGGAACTTTGCCTGTGGCTGATTGGCAAGAACCCCTGGCCCCACCTGCTCGCCGATGGCGTTCTTTGCCTGGTTCACCAGAGTTCTTGCATCAAGAGGCCTGTCCATTTGTGGGCCGAGAAGAATCACTATCTGATGGGCCCCTACCACGCCTCAGTAGTCTCAAGTACAGAGTAAGAGAGATCCCACCATTCCGAGCATCTGCCCTACCAGCTGTTCCAGCCCATGAGGCCATGGACTGCTCTAATTCCCAGGAAGAAAATGGTTTTGGACCCAGGCCTCAGGGAGCCAGTCCATGCCTTGCAGGTGCCTCTGAGGAAATGGAGGTAGAAGAAGAAAGGCCACAAGGCTTGGCTCCAGTCCCCTTCTCTGTCTCAGGCATATGCCTGAAAACCCAGGGAGAGCAGGATGGGTGAGAGGGGTTAATCCCTGCCTCACCTTGGGGATGAACCTTGAGATGAAACCACAAGGTCCCCTTGGTACTTAGCCTAGACTTTTCCCTGGGGTCTACAGAGCAGGCCGGCTAGGCCAAGCCAGGCTCAACTTTGGGGCTCCCAGTGCTCAGTGGCTATGTATGAGAGGGAAAGCAGCAGAGGCCTTCCTTGTTAGGGCCAACAGCTGATACCAAGCCTCTAAAATCCAGCAAGGAGCTCTGGTTCCCACCTGACCCTACAATGCACTTCTGCAGACAGAACTAGAGGATTCCTAGTTCTAGTCTGGGCTGGCAGGCAGCTATTACCCCAGGTTCTTCTCCCACCCCAGGTCTGTCTCTTGCCTTTTCCCAGGGCATATAAGCTACTGTATGGAACCTGGAGCTGACCAGAAGGTTGTAAAGGGCATGACTATTTCTCAGACCTAAAAACTGGGGTGCTTCTTGCCAGTATGTCTAAGACTTGAATAATTGCTGTTTGCACTTACCGCACGGTCAGACCACGTCACTACATTTCTATGCAAGGGGAGGGCAAGGCAGTGTGGTGGTCATGGCTCTTAGCTAATCTATTCAAAGTAAGAGCCTTTCCAGTTAATTAATCTATTTTCATATTTATGAAGGAGTCTTAATGTTCTGCCCTATAAGACTTTCAACCTTGTGGTTGGGAGTGGGGCTGGTTTTGTAGGCCTTAGGGCCTGCTCTATGTATTTGTCAACATGGGATACACCCAATTGGTTAAATGGTTTATACATGGACTGATTTTCTTCTCTTCCTGCTATGGCTGGAGCTACCAGAACAGTCTGTCTTTACAGAGCCGCAATAAGAAATAACCAAAGATGAAGCTGGTCAAATATTTTCATAACTTGTTTCTGTTGATTTTTTTGGTAAAACTTTCCCAAGACACTTTCAGATCTAAAAATAAAGTCGGTGTTACAGGTGCTGGTCAGCCTTCTTACTTGTACCTTTGTTTCTCAGCCTCTGGGGTAAAGGAGAAGATCCAGGAGCAATGCAGCAGTATCTGTCAGGAGCCTCCCCTCCCCAACTCTGTAGTAGTTGAGAGTAGGACATTCACAAGCTAGTGACCCAGACCCCTGTCTCACCATCAGCTTCTCTCTCTTCCTGGGCTCTGGGTACTAGGTAGAAGTTGGGTCAGCTGCTGCCCCAAGCCAACTTCATCTTCTGGTTATGGGCTTTGGAGGAACGAGAGAATTGGCTCTTGGCCACTGTGAGGGGTACAGCTTTGCCACTCAGGTATACCTTGTTGTGGCATTCAGGCAGCCAGGGTCCAGGGCTACAGGGCTGGGGTCCTTGGCTCACTCCCACATAGGCCATCACGTAGCCTGTCATAAAGGCATCAAAACCAGCCCGATGCAGTCCATTCCCAGGCACTGGGTTAGAACTGGCTTGACTCCTTGGTGTTTCTAAGGTAGCCATGTCGGCTGTTTCAGGCCTCGTTGCTTTAAGTCCCGTCTCCAAGTCATTTTTGTGACCTTGCTCAGAGCCAGCCTGGTTGCTGTTCTCATCCTCAGCCACCTCCTGTTCAATTTCCTTAGCCTTGAGGCCATCCCCACAGACCTGCTTCATGGGAGGCTCATCCTCAGTTTTCTCAGAGGTCTGTTTCCCAGACAGGCCCAACAGAGCCCTCCGCCGTTTTTCTCTCCGCCGTCGCCGTCGCCGCTTATCCTCCATGGCAGCCTCATCAGTGTCAATGATAAGGTCAATATCATGGGACCGAGGACACTGTGATCCCAGGGGGCACCAACCATAGGCCTAGAGGTAGGAAAGAGGCTTACCGAGGGTTTCTAGGCATCAGAACCTCCCCTCCCCCAGGAAATGGGTAAGCGCTCTCACCGAAAAGTTGTCACAGACACTGGTGGAATGACGGTGAGTTGCAGGGGGTAAACAGCAGCGGTAGTCAATATGGGGCCTCATGCTAGAAGGATAGCTGCAGAACTCCAAGATTAGGTGTGGGCTGCCAGCTACCCGCTGCTTCCCATTTTCCCGCTCACTGCAATAGCATAAGAGGGTATTGGTTCACTAGCATATAAGCTCCATGAGAATAGGAGTTTTTGTCTGTTTTGTTCACTGCTGAATCTTCAGCACCTAAAACAGTGCCTGGCACATGGCAGGTGCCCAATAAATATCTTAAATGAATAAAATAGGTTTACACCAGGCCCCACCCCTTCCCCTTAACCAGTCCCTCACCATTTCCGGAAGGCATATTCTAGGTAGGAGGCCACAAAGCGGGCATGAAACTCAGCAGCATATTTGGTGTCATATATGCCGGCTGGGAACATTTCACACAGGTCAGCAGTGAAAGTTCCCAAGCTCTCAGGCAGGTGTGCATAGAAATTCTGGTATAGAAATACCAAGTCTATGAGACCATTGTGCAGTATCAGGGGCCGGCGGGCCCGGATTAGCTCCAGGAACAGTGTCCTCACTGATTGACTCTGGCTCTCATCACCCTGAGTAGAAAGAAAGGGGTCATCAGGAAGGGCAGAGTCCCCTAGGGAGCCTCTTTTACAGGATATTTAACCCAAGCTCCCTCACCTGGATAGCTCTCCCTCCCTTCCTAACCCAGTTCTATTCACCCATGTATCAGTCTTGTTTCCCCAGCCCTGTCACTAGTGATTCCCCATACTCCCAAAGAAGCAGACCTTCCCAGTGCACCCAGCCTAGGGTAGGAAGAAATGAAGTCACAGAAGGGGCAGTCTCAAGGCTGGAGGCCAACCTTGTCATTGCCTTTGTGATATGGGATACCCTGGGCATACTGCCGGTTGAAATTGAAGCCATGCTGTACCAGGAACTGCACAGACTTTGGTTCTATGACATACTCTTCCATGCACAGAAGGGTCAGATTGAACACCTGGGCCAGGTATGAATGTTCACCCTAGGAGAGAAAAATGGTCTGTTACATAAAACCTGTGAGAGAAAATCTCATACCTTATGTTCCCCAGGATCTCAACCCTCCTCTCCCCCAGCCACAGACCTGGGATGGGGTTAAGATCAGCCCATACCTTGTCTGGCTGCTGCTTGAAGCAGGCGAGGCCCAGGGAGAGGACAGAACGGGTCCTGGCAGCATGACACACGGCCTTGTAACGTTCCTCGACGCACCTTGGGGTTGGGTTTGGGGTGGCTGTGGCTGGGAGTTAGCCTCATTAAGGACCTAAACCACCCAGGCCTGTGACCTTCACTCCAGGGTTCAGGTCTGCCCACCACACTTCCCCGGATCCCGGCCCCCTGTCCGGGTTGGAGCTAAAGAGATCAAAGCTTATACTTACTGGTTCAGCAAACTCTTCCTGTCCCCAAGCCCACTCAGTTCCTGTGGGTGGGTAAACGGAGTTGAGTTAGGTCCCCAGCATCAGCCCTTTCACAACCAACTGCCCTCCCCATTCTCCAATCCTCACCGTGTCCACAGCCACGAAGCTAGCTGTCTTTATGGCTAACAGAAGGGATGGCCACATCTCCTTGAAGTTGTCACTTTGCACATCCACCACAGGAACCTGGACTACTAACTCCTCCCCAGATTTTGGGCTTTTGCTGACGCCACCTGGGGGCAAGGAGGAGGAGGGATGTTAATGCTCAGGCAGGGCCTAGGGGAACAGATACGTAAGCTAACTAGGGCATGGTTTGGGGGTATGGGTGGAGGTAGGGGCACTTTCAATCAAGGCAAGAAATGGCAGCTTTCCCCTCAGTCCTTTGTGTTAGGCGTGCTCTACACATAGGAGTGAACAGTGCCTTGAATTTAGGGAGAGTGAGCCTGGCTCTTTCAGTGGCCTGAGACTTAGGGAAATCATCTATCCCTCAGCATCACAATCCGTGGAAGAGGACGGTTGAACTAGATGATCTGTGAGGTTCCCCCCCACCCCCCCCACCATGTCTTGCAGAAACTATTTGGCACTGGTTCAGGAGTTCAGCACCTTTAATTTCCCAACAGGCTACATACTACCGTTCCCATGGTGCCCTAGCAGCCACAAGCGGCAGTAGCCTGTATGCCCCAGAGCCTGATAAATGCCCAGAGCTCCCAGAACGTCCCACTTCCTTTGGACCACAACTCCCAACCTGCCCCACTTAACGAGCTCCAGACTACATCTCCCGACAGGCCCCATCTACACTATGTTCCCAACACTCCAGGCTTTTGCAGCTGGAGTCGCGGTGCACACTGGAACTTGTAGTCTCCTCGTGGCTGGCTCAGAAGGAAGACGCTAGTCCTCTGAAACTTGAGGTCTATTTCTAGAACTATGAGCCCGAGGCCTTCCCCTCTCCCGGAGAGCACAGGCTTTTAAGGCGGCCCCGGAAAAGCCACTCACCATCAGAGCCCACCGGTGCTGAGGCTGCGCCATCGTCACTGTCGGCAGCCATGACACCGTGCGTTCCTCGCCTGAGTAGTCTGTGGGTACGCAGGACGTCCGCTTCGTCTCCTAGCCCTACTTTTGCAGTCGGGGGTGGGGGCCGGCCCTCGCCTCCGGAGTCGGTGACGGGCCGGATTTCCGTTCAGACCTCCCGGGTTTGGCACCGAGGACTCAGTACCAAGCGCGTTGGGAGCCTATTGGCTGTTGCTGTCCGACTCCCGGCCCCGATTGGCCGGAGCCACGCCCCTTGGGAAGCGTTGTCGCGGGACACGGCGTGGGAGGTAATTTCTTCGCGTACTACAAGGTGGGAACGTGGGGCTGGGCTTTGCGCTGTCATCAGTACGGCTCCAGGATGGGGGTGGAGGTCCCCAGAGGAGGTGGTACCGCCGGAGCTAAGCTTAAAGCACGCATAGGAGGTGGGTAAAGAGAGGAGGGAGGTGGTGGGGAAGCATTTTCTGGGAATGGGTAAGTTTCTTGGGAAGATGAAGTTCACGGTGTTCCAGGAAGTGAAAGAGGCGGGGAAGGGGACAAAAGACGAGGCTGCGGAGGAGTTAGAGGCACCCGCTCACTAGTAGGGAAGCTTTTGAAATAATCCACACAGGTGATAATAAAGACTTGAATTAAGACTCCGGCAGTAGAGACGAAGAAAAAGGGACAAATTGTAAGCAAGTAAGAGATACAGTTGACCCTAGGCGGTGATTGGACATGACTCCTGCTACCGTGAGAGTGAGAGATCGCCTTACCAAGAGACCAGTCCTTTCCCAAGAGTACCTGTTCCCATCCTCGCAGCCCACCAAGGACTCTCAACCCTTTCTTCTTGGTTATTCAGTTTGTAGTTCATCTTCAACTTGGCTCTCAACTGAGTCTTTTTTTAAAATCATTATTCAGAATTGTTTGGATTTCTCCCATTCTAAAAACAGGAAATCTCCCTCATTCCATTAATTAATTTAAGAAGTATTTATTATATACAATTTACTTAGCACTGTGCTCAGCTCAGGGGACACAACTGTCAACGAAAGAGACCCAACCTTTGCTCTCATGGAGTTTTACAGTCAAGTTGGGGAAGTGGACAGTAATCAAAGAATCACAAATAAGTGTGAAATTGCAATTGGTATAAAAGCAACAATGGAGAACTACACAAGAAAGTAGGACTACAGGAGCTGATTTGGACATTTAAATCAAGACCTGCAGAATTAGATGTTAGGTAAAGCATAAGAGAAGAGCTGTCCAAGCAGAGGAAATGGATTGGGTGAGACCTCAAGATGGTCAGACACTTGGGGATTGAAGCGTGTATTTCAGGTTAACATGGCTGAGCACAGCGATTCAGGGGATGAGGCAGATGGGCCTCTGGAGTGGAGCCTACAAGGCTTTAATAAGAGGACTGACTGGCTTCTATTCTAAGAGCAATGGGTGTGACAGCCAAAGTCCTCCAGTAGCCTACAAGGTACTTTGTGATCCTGTGCCCCCCACCTTCTCTACCTCTCTGACCTTATTTCCTATTACCCCCTCATTCCATTCTAACCACACAGGTTTCCTTATTCCACAAACATACCAGGCACCATCCTTAGGGGCTCCTTCTTAGGATGCCTTTCCCACAGGTATCCACATAGCTCATTTCTTCTATTGCTTTAAGGCACATGTCAGATATCACTTTAAGGCCTACCTTGACCGCATTCTTTAAAATTGCAGCATTCCACCCCTTTGCCATTTCTTATCCCCTTCATCTGCTCTACTTTTCCTCTTTATGCTAGTATTTATCACCCAATATCCTATGTAATTTACTTATGTGTATTGTTTATTGTCTGCCCCTATTAGAATATAAACTCTGAGGGCAGGAACTTTTGATATTTCATTTAGTGAAGTATTTCAAGAATTTAAAACTGCTTGACACATAGTAGGCATTCATAAATATTTGTTTGGTGAATTAATGAAAAGCTATGGAAAGCTTTAAATAAAAAAATGACATGATCATGTCTTAAAAGATTGCTTTACTTTATGGCAATTGGGTTGTAGAATGAATTATGGAAGTGAGTTAGGTGAAGGAAGTTTGGTTATGAAGGGGAGAAGGGGGTGGGTCTTATTGAGGGCATTGAAGGAGCAGGACCCTGAGCTCAGACAATTTAGGAGGGACCATTCTTTCATATAATGGAGGAGAGGAGAAGAGTGCAGATGGAAGTAAGTTTGTACATTTTTTCTGTGAAAGAGGAAGCAAGCTCTTTTCATGAAAATGAGGTGATGAAGTCAAAAATTGAAGTGTTTGGTGTGTGAACCAGAGGTTCATCAGGGACTGCAGTATAGCAGAGCGCAAGAGTGCAAGAATGCAGGCTCTGGAGGCAGACCTTGATTAGAATAGACAAAGTGCTTAATCTCTATACAAGCCTCAGTTTCCTTATAACTAAAATGGAGGTAATGCTAGGTAAATTACCTCCATTTTAGTTATAAGGAAACTGAGGCTTGTATAGAGATTAAGCACTTTGTCTATTCTAATAGGCAAATTGCTTATTTGCCTATTAGATTGAGTGAGAAATCTGGTAAAGCACTTAGCACAAGATCTGACATTTAGTAAGCACTCACTGTTAGCTACATTCAGCTATTAGAGGAAAAGTAGCCAGAAGTACAGTAAGGGAACAGTGAAGATCAACCAGATGCATTTTCTCATTGCTAATTGCCACCTAGCTATGATTTTCTAGATAGGAAAAGATTAAGAATAAAAATAGTTCATCTCTCTTTCCCCCTGGCTTACCATCTACTCTCAGGCAAATCTTTCCCCCTCTCTGATCCTTGGTTTCTCCTTTCTATAGAATGAAGGTCTGGACTAGATGATTGTTAAAGGTCATTTTTCTGTAAATATGCTATATCTCGAAGTAAATAAACTGCCTACCTCTCCCATGCTCCTAGACACATATGAAGAACCCCTGTTCACACACATAGTCACAATAAGCATCAGGGATACACAGGTGCTCCCACACAGGAAGCTTTGGTCCTTCACCCAGCCTAGCCCTGGCCTCCTATTTTGTGAGTGTCTCTAGGGCTATACTAATGCTGGTCCCTCTGAGGCCACTTGGAGAAGTTCAGCCCTACCAGTCATACCTCAGTGCCACAGCCAGTCAGGAGCAAATGTATGAGCATCTGAGGAGTCCTTGAGAAAAGCTAGACACTATGTGAATGGTATAGGGAGGGAGGTGGCTTTACCCCTTGCAGGGCCCCAAGATTCAGCCTCATTGTGGCTGACTACTTTGGGCCTTTGTGTTCTAGGCCATCATGAAAAAGCCACGAGCAGCTGTGGGAAGTCGTCATAGGAAGAAGGCATCCAGCCAGGAGGGAAGGGAGAGACATAACCTCAGCAGCAACCAGGCCAAGCCTTCTGCACCTGATGGTGAGGAGCTTGGTTCTAGTCAAAGACTCAGGGGCTGGTTTCATTGACCATGAAACAGGGCAGATTCAAGCTAGGAAGGGAGCAGGGTGTATATCAAGGCATTAAGGGACTAATTAAGGATCTAATTCTGACATTCACGTGTGACTTTGGGATAATTGAATGGCTGTTTTCTTAGCAGTGACATAGAGCAGTAGTCTGTGCATTGCCTTCCTCATGTGGCTTTCATGGGATCAAATGAGTTTATCAGCCTGAAAGTATTTTGTAAACGGGAAAGCCCTGCACAGGTATACATTATGCTTGGCTAAAAATGTTGGATTTTTATTATGATCCAAAGACAGAGGAGCCAGCAGTACCACCCTGGGAAAATTAAGGCTAGAAACTTGGCCAAGGGTACACACAGCTAGAGAACTCTGGTCTGACAATAGGTGCAAAGCTTAAGCAAAGGGTTGGGGGTGGGGGAAGCCTTAAGTGGGAGCAGACTGCAGCTAGGCTGCAGTGCCCCAGGTCCCTGGTGCACAGCCTATGCAGGGACAATTCCTGAGTTTCCTGAGGCCCCAGCAGGCCTCTCCAGGCGGCAGAAGAAGGTGGTATTGCAGGCCCCTGTCTCCTCGTACCATCTATTCAGAGATGAAGCTGAGGTCACAGTCTTCCGGGAGAGCCTGCTGAGCTGGTATGACCGAGAGAAGCGAGACCTACCGTGGAGAAGGCTGGTAGGCAAGCGAGGTACAAGAATAGCGAGGTGGGAGGCTGGTACCCAGTCCCCTCTACACTAACTCCCCATCTGGGATTGTATTGGCAGGCAGAGGGTGAGGGAGACCTGGACAGACGGGCATATGCTGGTGAGTACATCGGAGAGCAGAGCTGCTTTTCTTGGATGCCTTTAAGTCTGGGGTCAGGGGCTGTGGACTAGGATCAAGGCAGGTCAGCAGTGCCCTCATGCCAACCCCTCTTCCCCAGTGTGGGTCTCAGAGGTCATGCTGCAGCAGACCCAGGTTGCCACGGTGATCGACTATTATACCCGATGGATGCAGGTGACTACAGGGAAAGAAGGGGAGGGTCATGGGCCAGACCCCAGATGAGAACCTGTCCTATGGGGTAGGGGTAAAGAAGGCTTCTTCCACCGCCCTCACCCTTATCTCTTTTTGCCTGCCTTCTGGGTGTAGAAGTGGCCAACACTGCAGGATCTGGCCAGTGCTTCCCTGGAGGTGAGAGCCACGCAAAGGTAAGGGGAATGGGGACAACATAGGACTGACCGCTGATCTCCCTGACCTCTGACCTCACAAACAGGAGGTGAATCAGCTCTGGGCTGGCCTGGGTTACTACTCTCGAGGCCGGCGGCTACAGGAGGGAGCCCGGAAGGTGAGCGGGTGACAGGGAGGGTTGGAGCCTCTGAGGAGGGACTTGGGTGTCTCTTAACCTTGACTTCCCACCCACTCAGGTAGTAGAGGAGCTAGAGGGCCATGTGCCACGTACAGCAGAGTCCTTGCAGCAGCTCCTGCCTGGTGTAGGGCGGTACACAGCCGGAGCCATTGCTTCCATTGTGTTTGGCCAGGTGAGCCAATAGCCCACCCCCTACTTTTTGTGTGCTCACCTTTCTTCCTTCTAGACCAGGCTGACTCATGGACTTCTCTGTGCCAGGTAACCGGTGTGGTGGACGGGAACGTGGTACGGATGCTTTGCCGTGTCCGAGCCATTGGTGCTGATCCCAACAGCTCCCTTGTCTCCCAGCAGCTCTGGTAGGATATTGGAGTAATGTGGGATATTGGGAAGGGGGCTTCCAAAGGGCTTTTGGCTCACAGCAATGTTCCCTTCTTGTAGGAGCCTAGCCCAGCAGCTGGTAGACCCAATCCGGCCAGGGGACTTCAACCAAGCAGCCATGGAACTTGGGGCCACAGTGTGCACCCCACAGCGCCCGCTCTGCAGCCAGTGCCCTGTGCAGAACTTGTGCCGGGCATACCAGAGGGTGAGCCATCTGGGGTAGAGGCAGGCAAGGGTACTAGGGAGTAAACCCTGCCCCATGACATCCCACCCTATGCCTCTCAGGTGGAGTGGGAGCAGCTCCAAGCCTCACGGAGCCTGCCAGGCAGTCCTGATGTGGAAGAATGTGGTGAGTGCCAGCCCTAACCCCAGCCCTTCTCTGCACTGTCAAGGAACTGCCTGTGGAAGCCTCATTCCAGTTCATCCTACAAAATGAGTAAGATTCTGCAGAGCTGGGCCAAGGCCTACTCTCTGTGCTTGGCACCTAAGCCCACCTGGCCTGAGTGGGGCTTGGGGATCTCTCTTCCTAGCTTCCAACAATGGACAGTGCCAGCTTTGCGCGCCTCCTACAGAGCCATGGGACCAGACCCTGGGTGTGGCCAACTTTCCCAGAAAGGCCAGCCGCAGGCCCCCCAGGGTGGAATGTTCTGCCATCTGTGTTCTAGAGCAGTCCAGGGCTCTTGGGGACACCCAAATTCTGCTGGTACAGAGGCCCGACTCAGGTACCTGGATCTTGGGAGTAGAGGGCAGTAGCATGAGCTAAAGGGGAGAAATGGAAGAGTCAGCAGCTAAGGCCTAACCTATACCTGGCTGCTCTCTGTCTCAGGTCTGCTGGCAGGACTATGGGAGTTCCCATCCGTGACTGTGGAGCCCTCAGGGCAGCATCAGCGCAAGGCCCTGCTGCAGGAACTGCAGAGTTGGGCTGGGCCCCTCCCAGCCACCCGCCTCCAGCATCTCGGGCAGGTGAGTAAGCAGTGGAGGAGGCAAGAGGGATGGCTTTTTCAGCCATATCCACAGGCCTGTTTCAGCCCCTTGGCCCTCCCTCCAGGTGGTCCACACCTTCTCCCACATCAAGCTCACATACCACGTGTACGGTCTGTCCCTGGGAGGGCAGACCCCAGTGACCATTACACCGCCTGGAGCTCGCTGGCTGACCCGGGAGGAGTTTCGCACTGCAGCTGTCTCCACTGCCATGAAAAAGGTACTACCTTTGTTGTCTTACTGTATTTTTTTTGTGTTTCCTATATGTTCTGCATGAACTTATTAGTATGTAAACAGAAAAAAAAACATTTTAAACAAAAGTGCTGAGTCATGAAATTGAAGACAGAACACAGGGCTCTGGCTCTTGGGGGAAGATGCCAGCCCTGCACTCTACCCCTCTCTTCTTCACTAGGTGTTCCGTGTGTATGAAGACCAACAGCCAGGGACCTGCAAGGTGAGTTCCCTGGCCCCCACCCAGCCATCTGTCCCTAAGCCTGAATCCACAGGTTTTCAGTGAGTTAAGTAACACATATTTGGGTAAACATTGTCCACTCCAGGTTTCACTGGGGCTAGAGGAATAGTTCTTGACCTGGAGACCTGATAGTCTGGGGTCCAGGTGGAAAGGGGAGAAAAGAGCAAATGATGGAGACAGTGTCACAGGTGTGTGAAATGTTTGTACTAGATTTTGTAGGATGTAAAGTAGAGAGCGCTCAGTTCTGTCTGGGAGGCAAGGATCAAGAAAGGCTGCTTGGAAGAAACAGCTGGTAATGTAGGTCCTAGAAATAAGTCATATTCTCTCAATTTGGGAAGAGAATCAGTAATAAGGATGTTCTTCCAGGCCTAACTCAGGCTAGTCAGGGCCGTGGTAAACACAAGGCCACTGAAGCATTTTAGGTGGAGAGAGGGGTCAGATTTACATTTAAGGAAGATTATCTCAGCCTGCCTTTTAGACAGTTGATTAAAGAGGCAAATCTGGAGATAGGTTGGAAGCCTTATAACATTCAGGCTATAAGACTTAGCTAGACCAGTGAAGTGGGGGGAGGGGTAGGATAGGATTCTTTGCTGCCCTACTAAGTGCCTTGATCGGCTTCTGCACAGAGTTCCAAAAGATCCCGAGTGTCTACTCCGTCCAGCCAGAAGAAGCTCAGCCCAGGCCAGCAAGTCCTGGATAGTTTCTTTCAGCCCCACACCCGCACCGATGCACCTAGGTTTGACAGTGCAGCCCAGTGATGCCTCTGGAAGCCCCCACTCCTTGAGAATCCTGTTGTTTAATAAAGTGCTTATTTTTGCAGTTGCTTTGGAGATTTTCCACTCTCTCTCTAGCCCCCTTCCTCCTTACCTCTGAGGGACCCAGAAAGTGGTAATGCCCTGCTTGATCCCAACTTCCACTGGCTGAACTCTCAGCCAGCCCTGGGCAGAT